TTTTGGGTTGGGTCTGTGGGCGCCCTCGAAGAAGAAAAGACGGTTACTCACCGTTGTAACTGTTGTTCTTCGAGATGTGTTGCTCATATCCATTCCAAACCCGCCCTCCGTCCCCACTGTCGGAGTAGCCGGCAAGAAGGAACTGAGGGGGCGCCGGGTCGGCTGGGGTATATATTCAGCGCCATGAAGGCGCCACTCTAGGGGGCTCCACAGCCGACCCGCCGGTGTTGCTAGGGTAAAAATCTTCCGACGATCGTGCACGCGGCGCGCACACACCTAATGGAATGGATATGAGCAACACATCTCGAAGAACAACAGTTACAACGGTGAGTAACCGTCTTTTCTTTTCCCGCCTTGGGGAAGGGGAGGGGGAAGAAGAGCCCCAGGGACCACTGGCCCCAGCCATGGGTTTAAAGGGGGGGATATGTGACGAGGCAGACTGGCCCCGCACTGACGCAGCAGGGGTTAACCCTTCCTTCCTGGCAGAGGAAGCCCTGCCCCGGAAGCCCTGCTGGGCATGCTTCATCTGGAGGCTAGGTATAAAATCCTGCAGAGCTGCTCAGTTGGGGCTGACCACCGGAGGAGAAGGATGCACCCCGCCAGCTCCTGAGGAGGGACAGCCCACGCTCCAGGCTCCAGGAGCCAGCCTAGCTGGCCCGCACCCTGCATTTCAGACGGAGAACCCGCCAGAGGGGAACGGACCCATGTCTCCGGAGGAGACCACGACATTGAGGGTAGGAAGTGACCCAGGGGAACTTTAGGGACCAGCCACATTAGAGCAACACTGACGATCGACATACTGCGGCCGGATCCACGCCAAGCCAACGGCAAGGGGAACCCCGCCATTAGGAGAGCCCTGGGTCGGGACCAGGTGGAGAGGGAGGGCCCGGGTCCCCCTACGCCTCTGGCCGTTAGGCCACACTACCTTGCTACTGAGGGAAGTTATATGAACTCTGGCCGTTGGGCCACACTACTCTGTTACTGACGACGGACGGGACACCACCAGGAGGGGGCGCTCCACTGGACAGAGCTAATTCCCAGAGACAACCAGTTGGCGGCGCCAGGTAGTGAGTCCCAACCCCGTTACAGAGGGTAAAACATACTCCTCCAAGATAAGAATGTCCAGATCTCTACTTTTTATAGTACAGGCCAGAGAGAAGGAAGAAACCAACTCTGCCATATGCAATCTGTTGTTGCTTTCTTGCTTCCTATCTTTCTTCTTGAGGCTTGACACGTGATTTCACTAAGGGTTTCAATAACTTTAAAATGTCTTTTATAATAGATTAATAATTCTAAACATTGGATTTTCTCATCTGAGGGGAAGTTTGCTCTATCATGTACTCTATTTTCAAAGGCTTGGTGATACCTACCAGAGTGGGTATGCAGTGATTCCATTACATTTTGTCTTTCAGCTCCAAAATATAGCCCTATACAATTTAAACTAAAGGAGAACTGATTTAAGTGGTTAGAGAAATTGGTTCCATTTTTAGATCTTTTGGTCAGTCACTAGATGATAAGATTGCACACTAATAAACCAAAGTCAGGAAATTAACTCCTCCCTCCAAAAATGGAGACTCTGGATAACTAGTTATCTTGGTGCTCCTATCAAGGGAGTTGGAGAAACTTAAAGTATCAGCTAAGAAACTACCATTCTGTCTTTCATTTAGTATGATGCCATAGAGTACAGGGCAATTAGACTATACAAAGAGCTCAGAAAGGCCGTATTTTCATCAAATTGCTCATCTGGTTCATGTTATTTATACCCTTATTCTATTTCAGCTGTGCAACAGTAAGAAAAACTGCCATTGTGATTTTGGTTGGGCCCCTCCAGATTGTAAATTAAAAGGCTTTGGAGGAAGTGTTGACAGTGGACCCCCTCCGACTGCCAGTAGTAAGTGCTGTGAAAAACTAAGACCTTTATATTTTATCCTGTTTTTAACTCTAAAGCCAGGAACCTGTAACCTGTATTCTAATGTGGTCCATGCAGCTGTCACGTCCAGGCTATGCTACAGCAATGTGGTCAGTTAGAGCGGCCCTTGAAAGGAGCTGGAAGTCATTTCTTATATAACACTCAAAAGGCCTGATTATGATATCTTTACTCTGATATCCTTATTACCAAATGTAGCCTGATCCATAGATTATGTATTAATTATATTGATTACTTAAGAATTCTCAGTTATCACTTTGAGATTTGACAGGTTCTTGTCTCAAGATCAGGCCCAGTATTATTAAAATTACGCTATAGTTGTGAGCTCCGATGTGCACAGTTGCAACACTCACACTGTAGGAACCCTTCTACAATATGTTGTGGTCAAAGACACCCACGCAGTGATCATGCATACCAGTGCACCAGAATTTTTAAGACTGAGGAAGTGAGGAGGCTGGGTGTGAGTTTGGTGATTTCTTTTAGATATAAAACACGCACTGTTGTGGGAAACAGCCTGAAATGCTTTGGCTGTCTTATTATATTCGATTTCTATTACATGGATTTGGGTTTGAAGGTAAGACATGTTAGAGAGGAGGGAAAATAGAGAGGTTAAGTTTAAGAAACGGTTAGAGATGAGGGAAGTCCAATCAAAAGTAAGGGGGATGGTTGGGTGATGGGACACATAGATTTGGGGCATACCAGGCCAGGTGATGAAATGGCTACCTTGTGCAGTGGATAAGTTAAGGTGGGAAGGAAGAGGGAGTTGGGGACTGGATGGCAGGGCGCACCCATCTTTTTTATTAAATAACAATTTTCCTTCTGGGTCTTTCCCTATTGCTTCCCCTTCCCAACAGGCCATATTTAAGACATTGAGTACTTCCCCGGGATGCAGCTTCCGGAGGCAGGACAACTGTGGGGATTCCAAGGGCCAAAAGGACCACAAGGTTCCGATTCCCACCCAGATGTGTTACACAGCGAAATCATGGGGAGTGCTGATGAAACGGCTAGGTCCGTGGGGTGGGCCGATTGATGACCCAGTCCCATAGACAGTTTGCCCATGGCCCAGGCACAAGCAATTTGCACTGGAGCCCAGGTGCCATTAATAGGCCCCGAAGCTTGGAAGGTACATGCGACGGAGTCACAGCTCCATTGTGACAATGTCCACGTATGTCTCCACTTCCACAGCTCGGGTGGCACTCCCACAGTAGTGGTAAGGGTTTTGGGCCATCGCTGACCTAGGACATCGCCTCGCATTTCTGCTAAGAGACCGTTAAAGAAATCCTGCATTTGGCTACAAGCTGAATCCCAGCCAGTGTCCTTTCCCGCATACTTCTTGTTCTTATCGAGATCAGAAACCTCAATTTACACTTTCTTAGGCTGTCCGTGCACAGCCTTTCCCTTAATAGGATAGTGAGCTATGCCTGGACATAGGGAGAAGGCATTAAATGCCTCCCTCTTAGTTGTTTACTTCTAGTCCTTGAGCCACTCCGTTTTGGAGTCAGTGATGGTTTCCTTTATGTCCCAGAGAGATTACCCAGCCTATTCAGACTCTATTCCTGCCTGAATAATCTCCTGTCATCCGAAACTTGTTTTTATACTGGGCTGGCATTCTAAAAGTGTTTAACTGCCAGACGGATATCCCAGTAATTTCACCGAGGCTGTCCCAGGAAACCATTGGGTCTAAGACCCTCATGTACACACCACAAAACAGACAGTCTCCTACGCCGCCCCCCCCCCCCAGTTTATAGCCTAAGTAAACAATGATAGAGATAGCGCAGCATGATGCAAGAATTTAAACAGACAAGTTACAGAACGGACACACACAAAACAAACAGGCCTCAGGCAAATGAGTCTAGCCTCAAAAGGTTCGGATCATAGCGCGTCCTTACTTGAACCCAGAGCCTATGGGCAGCTCCCCACCGAAGCCCAAATAGAGACAAGGGTCTCTTACCTGGTGCCTGGGATCGGTGTGGAAGCGGTCCACAGTCCTCCGGTCCGGTGGGACGTCGAGTGATCCTGGACGAGCCCCCAAATTATCGTAGTCAAAGACACCCACGCAGTGATTTTAGTTCAAAGACTCAAGCCTGAGGCCAGTTTATTGACATGCATACCAGTGCACTGGGGTGCAGTCCGAAGACTGACACCCCGAGGACCGCTTGCAGGCGGGTTTTTATTTCATTAAACCACAAGCAAAGTACAAACAATACGTCATGAGTTAAGAAATTGGGATTGGGGTCAGCCCCTCCCCTCCACCCTCCTCATTATTTCCCAAGAGTTGGGTGTTTATTTGGGTAGAGGGGCATTTGGTGGTTTTCCCCAGGGGTGGTACTTGGCACCAGTTTGAGTACATTTCTCGGCAAGGCACATGTTATTTTCCGGGGGGGTTCGGTGAAGGGTTAAGGGGGGTTTATCAGGGGATGCTAAAAGAAGATCTATGATTGGCTAATTTTGCAGATAGCTGGAATTGGAAAACTTTGCAGATAGCTGCAACTGCAAGAATGATTAACCCTTTGCAAAGACAATTTCCTAATGTAAGCGGATATTCTATTTTTCCACGGTTTCATAAACTTGCGGTTATTATATTGCTAAAGCAGTTTCTGTTGTAACCTTTAGCATTGTTCTGTGTTTCCCCCCCCCCTTCCTCTGGCCATTACCCTTGACCGAGTTTGGCACAGAACCGTGTTGTTCAGTCTTGCTCAGGCTTAGGCCTGTACTGCTCTGTGTAAGGGCAGTCAGCATAACAGATCTCTGTTGGAGGGTTTATTTCGGGGCCTTCAAATTTACAGTTCTGGCTATCAAAAATAAGCCCTCCCCCCTGTTCTATTTCCCCACAAATAATTTATTAATACATTTAGCAAAGTCAAACACTCGAACCCAGTAAAGTGGATAGAGATAATACAGAATGTACATCTGATCATCCATATACTCACACCATCCCTGGCAGAACAACCTGAAAATGTTAACCATTATCTTTCCCTTCACCATCATCGTCATCATTACCTCCAGTGGCCATCATCCTAGCACCTCCCAAGGGCTACACCTCTCTCTTCTCCCACACACAGGCTTGAATGCAACTCTTATAATATATTACACTGATGCCACTACGTCTAATGCATATTCAATAGGGGTTTCTCCCCTCTTCTTTATTTGTATTCCTTCACCCTACTAGTGTTAAGGTGCCCTTCTCCTATTGGTTAGTATAGTATGATCTCAACTTATTATCATATACATCAGTTCGTTGCTATGGCACTCTTGTGGTCAGATATCTTCAGATGCTCTGTCCAAAAGCCAGAGTTAGCTCATGTTCCTGTCGTTGGCTGGTGTCGTTATGGACAAAATTCCCCCGTACACACTCTATTTCCAGTTCTCCAAAACTTAGGGGTGACCGTTAGGCCATTTATCTGTGCCACAGTTCACAGGTTGCAAATCTTATGCTATAGGTTACAGGCCTGTAGGTTCCTTGCATTACTGCCAAATAAAATAAATGCTAAAGCTAGCCCCGTGGGCTACACAAGTAGCACCTTACTTATACAAATGGATCAGTGGGATCTTGTGGAGATAAGACACTCATTCATGATGAATAGTACATCAGAATCTGGCCCAAAATAGACACCAGAGGCAAAAGAGTAGTATAAAGAAGGTGATGCCCTTTTTTCCTACCTACCTTCAAGGGAGTTCCTACCCAACCCCCTTGAATTTTTCTTTTTCCTTATGTAGCATTTCTCCATCTTACCATAAGCCTAAATCCCTCAGTCCTAGTAGTCACCCATTCCTTTTAACTGGTTATTACTTTCCAGTTTTTATAAACTCACTGAATTCCCATATATCCCCAATTCTTCCAGTGATTGTCCACATATAGTCCATTTCTGGGGTGCATGTGGAGTACAAAGGACTGTTCCAAGTTGCTGAGCACCAAGTAATTTCATCTTTAAAATGACTAAAATTTCATAGTCTTGAGTAATACAAAATAATAGGCCAAATCTTAATAAATGTCTCTTTTAATGCCAGTGCAGGGACATGACTCCCATTGTTTAGGCGTATGAGGTTCTTTGCCAGGCCTTAGCAGATACCACAACTAAAGACAAGCAAAATAATCATAATTATTAACTATGACTATTGTTAAGGAAAGGGAAAAAATAAAACCAAAACAGAACACAAACAATAAACAATGGTTACTTCAGGTACAGTCTTGTCCATATGTCTCTCTATGGAGAGCTTTTGACAGAGATTACATCTTTTCAGAGTTGGTCTACCCTTGGAAGGGGGCCAAAGTACCTTATTCCCCCAAATTGATAGTGAGCCTTGTCTTAGTGCATCATAGATAATAAAACAGTTTAAAGATGGGCAAAATACTTTTGTTTAAGAGCAGATGAGCCCATTTTGAGTTATCACGGATAACATAACAGGTTATAAATGGGCAAAGGTGAATAATCTTAACTAGGTCCTATGAAATCAAAGAAACTATTTCAATCAGTTACTCAAAAGAAGGGATTCAAGGAGCCTCGTTGAAAGAGGTAAATCAATGAAACCTTAAATCCAGATTAAATCCCACTATTTCTCTCTGTTTACCAATGTTAATTTATGTCTCCTGTTCAGGAATACATACGTGTCACTGTGCCTCAGTGGGTCACAGCTGAGAATATCAGATTCAGAACAAACAGCTGAGAAATAGAGCAGAATCACTCTAAACTGGTGGTTATTCTATTATTAGACATATTAACACGCAGTGTGCAGAGGCGGTCAAAAAAGCAAACAGGATGTTAGGAATCATTAAAAAGGGGATAG